ATCTTTCGTCAAGGAAAACTAGTTGCTTTGACTACATCATATTGGTCCACAGCACACTTCCAGCAAAAAAATGGCAATAAATCTTGTAACTAACAATAGGGCTTTTTCATAATAATTTTCAAAGGAATCAGGTGTCATGCTAGCTATTCTGGAATTGGACCAAAGTAAAAATTCGGAAGGAAGAATAAACTGACAGCGTTGTCACAAAGCCAGCAACCACAAAAAGACACTGCATTGTACCCTCAACAAACATCAACCAAAAATGTAACCAAACCTGGTGTCTGACTAAGAAGGGTCGCTCAACTTTGATTTCAAAAATAGCCACAAACGCTTTAGGGGTTGATGAAGCTTTGCAAACGACAAACAGTAACATTAATACAGTTTTCCTTCCCAGGGGCGATCTACAATCTACAACCGCAGTAAAACTAGGCAACATTTTGCAACAATGAAGGGAAAACTACGTGTTTGCTTGCAGTTGAATTTTAAGATGTGGACTTCCTTGGCAACGGTGAGGACACTGCGCAAGAAGTTTTACGCTAGCACTTTGGGGAGAAGCAACTGAGAGGCAATGGGTCAATATGAAGGATGCAAATCAAAAAATAGCAACAAACTAACAAGCATATCTATGCTCATAATAATAATCATGGTGATCACCATCAGCATTGCCACTGTGATTTTGTTTGCCATCATCACCTAATCTTGAATACATTTTACACCACTCTTGGCTTAATAAAAATGAAAGTACTGGTACAACTTAAATGACAATGCTTTGATAAGAGGGGCAAGGGAGACCAAAGCAACCTTTTCATAAAAAGTGACTTGACATCAACCATTTGCAATTATTTGTTACTATAAAAGAATTTCATATGAATCCTGACTGTAGCGCCACATCTCTGACAAAATTTCTTCAAACTTGTAAAAACTTATCTTTTGACAGCAGGTAGCTCATTAGCAGGATAACTACAGAAAAACTTCTGACCACACCAGTGGTAGCATTTGTAACAGTGTTGCAATACCTGGGTGTCCAGCTTGTCTGATTACAGTGTGTATTGGCTGTTTAAGGCATAATATACAATTTTTTTGCGGTACAGAATTTGAAAATGGCTTTGAAAAAAGCAAACATTTTACAACATACTTAAAGCTTTTTCGTCTGACACTCCTCAGAGCATAAAACGTCAGAATAGGTTCCGAAAAAACACGATGGAAAAATATATACCCAGTTGTGGATCAAAATAGGCCAATCAGAAAAACGCAAGCACAAGACCGGTATAGTTGACCAATCAGTGCCGCGAGCCTAAAGAAAAATTACCAATGGAGTCCAAGAGAGAAAACGAACTCCTTTTGTCTACACAATGGCGGCTTTTTCGTTTTTATGTAGATTGACTCCAAAACTGCTAGATGGAAAGACGACCGGGCTCTGCCAATTATCCGAAACATGTCGTCATTATAGAGTTTTGCACAATCTGGGTTGTCTAAAAGATGTTGACCAATGGCAGAATCACTTGTTTTAACAGTGTTTCTAGACCTACAAGATCGAGGAGGCTGTTCTCTTTGAGGGGCAGTTTTGTTTCGTTTTGTTTTGTTTCGCAGTTTTTGTTTTGTTTTGTTGGGGGATAGGATAAAACAGCATGTTCCTTCCAACATACGAAACAAAACTGCCCCTCAAAGAGAACAGCCTCCTCGATCTTGTAGGTCTAGAAACACTGTTAAAACAAGTGATTCTGCCATTGGTCAAGATCTTTTAGACAACCCAGATTGTGCAAAACTCTATAATGACGACATGTTTCGGATAATTGGCAGAGCCCGGTCGTCCTTCCATCTAGCAGTTTTGGAGTCAATCTACATAAAAACGAAAAAGCCGCCATTGTGTAGACAAAAGGAGTTTGTTTTCTCTCTTGGACTCCATTGGTAATTTTTCTTTAGGCTCGCGGCACTGATTGGTCAACCATACCGGTCTTGTGCTTGCGTTTTTTCTGATTGGCCTATTTCGATCCACAACTGGGTATATATTTTCCGTCGTGTTCTTTCGGAACCTTATTCTGACGTTTTATGCTCTGAGGAGTGTCAGACGAAAAAACTTTTAGTATGTCGTAAAATGTTTGCTTTTTTCAAAGCATAATATACACTTAAGACAATTAACTTCTTTGAAGTTTGGCAATATTTTTAAAGAGAAGGAATTATTTTCTACACTATAAATTTAAAGAAGGAGACACTGGCAAATTTTGTCAAAGAAAAGATTAGCTAGGGATCGACAACAAATTTTGTCTCTGGCCATTGGTACTGTGTTAGGTGTACTATGTTAGGGATACAGGCAAGTCAGATAATTCAGTGGCAGAAACTTGGGGGGGGGGCAACCTCCTTCCCAATACTTTAAAGGACAATAGTCTTTTGTCCTAAAACAATGGGAAATGTGACATCATCTTACTAAAACAAAAGGCTTGCCCCCCGATATTTGAACAAGTGTCTGCCCCTGTTCATATCTGTGTACCAGCCCTATTGGTCCGATTGCCACTTAAACTCTACTGCTGGGCTGGATTTGGCTCGGCAGAATCAATTTTGCATTTCATCTTAATTTGATAAGAAAGTGTTAGGTAAGTGGTAATATTTTGGTAACATACTTTTAGTGATATAATCCTATATACCTTTACATAGCTAAATATTAGTCATGGGTGTTCCCTTCAGGTAAAATTGGTAAAGGGCATTTTCTGGTGCTAAAAGGGGTGTGGCCTAAATTTTTTTGTTTTGTCCCCCAGAGCCTAGTGGCTGGCACTGGCTGCCATAGGATGTGGAGTGGATAATTCTACCTTGAAGAGTCCCCCTTTTCTATGAGAAAAACAGTTATGCAAACTTTTTATAATCTCAGCTTTTTTGTACCCTAATACAAAGGTGAAAATCTAAGATTTTTGTTTTAAGATTTTAGCATCTTGGTTAGGCTTCTACAAATCACTCTAGGCCTAGAAAATGGGAGATCAGACAGGTTTTTAACTCTGTCACTGTCTAACTACCCTTACCACTGTCTCCACAGAACATGAGTAGATACATCCAAGTTGAAGGATTAAGACTGGTTAGTTGCTATTGTCATTTGAAATCATATCTGTGGACAAAAGCTGTCAATCAACCTTGGGATTATCACTTCCTCTTTTGAGCCTGATCATAATCACATTTCCTTAATGACTTGAAAAATTACACTGATCTGCATGGTGATATCTGCTCCAAGATAAGAGATGATACAGCTTTTAGCTTGCTTACAAATTTAATATATGGGAATATGTAACTACCTTATATGAGATTTAGTAAGTTTTGATTTAAATTTGTTTTTAAGTACTGTAAGTGCCTCTTAACAACATAATTTTTTCTCCCATAAATACACATCAGACTAATCCTTGAAACAATGATAACAAGAACTGCAAAGACTTCTCAGTTTTCTGACAAGCCACAAAAACAAGTCCCCATCAAAGATCAACTCATTCTATAAGAGAATGTAGATATCTGGTCAGTATAGAAAGACAATTCAGTGGTATTTACTGGTAGCAGGTGCATAATTCAAATATTCAAAACTGAATTTAGATTTCACATTCTGGGCAGAGCTTTGCTGCTAAATCTTGTTATCCCATCCTATTACTTATTGATGAATTTGAATTAACAAAGCTGCTTGGCATTAGAGGCTGTGGAACCAACTAAGGTGAAGTTATAAGCTGCACAAACTCAACATCTAAACATTTCTCTAGTACCTTCTAGATTTGCTAAAAAATTATGGAAATTTGTGAAACTCACAAAAATGAATACAGTGGCAAGAAACTTGGAAAGCACAAGACATATTCTAATTTAATTTACAAGTAGATGGTGGCACCGTTAGTTACCAGAGTAGCAAAAACACTGAATTGATAATCAATGAAGTAGAGCTTGTTGAGAGCAAAAACACTACTTGAGACAATGACCTGATTCCAAAAAGTTTTCAAGCGAACATTAAATTATCTAACAAAGTGGAACAAAAATTTCCAATAAAGATTTAATTTCGTATATTTTTCATAAACAAGTTAGTGAATTTTTTTGCTTACTCGTAAAGCCAAAACAATTTCCTTCGCTACTCACTCAATCACACACACTTTGTTTACTTCATGGTGATAAATGCTGATTTTCTGGCTCACCGCATTTCACGTCCATCGCAGACATTATCATTATTGTTTTCTATGCCATCTCGCTTTTCAATTTACAACATTAAACATAAATAACTCAACTTTTATCGAATTACTCTTTTAGAAAATTTTGTTTGGCGACCGATGACGATCAAGTATGACGGACTGAGTCAAATAAATTCACAAACTTTGTACAATATTTCAAGGTTGTGGAGCGGCCTAAATTAACATTGATGGGAAACATGAATAAAAGACTTTGGTAAAGGTGGGTATAGACAGGATTGTTTACAACAATGATACGATAACCTGAATTTGTCGTCGCTCTCTCTAAATCAAATATTTCATTATCATTGCGGCTCAAAGTTAAGAGGTCAATCAACATGTCAGTGAGCTATTCAAAAAAGTTGTAAACCGTAATCCCATAAACAGAATCATCACTAAAACAACATAGCAGAGCAAAATTTGGTTCTAGTTCTGTTAACAATACGCGAACGTTGTAGGTTGGAGTTAAAACCAGTTAAAATGGTGTTGCTTTGCGTGTTGAATTTCACAGGAAATGGTTGTAACAACGCCATCAGACAAATCGCTACCCCTGACATGAATTCTTGTATGGAAAAGACAAACTGGAATTCGAAAACAAAACAAAAAACAAAGAAACTGGGATCAATCATAAGAGCTTGTATCGTTTAACATTATGTACATGCTTTAAAATGACAGCCTGTTTTTGTTCCGAAATCATTCATCGTAATTTTCCCCCGCAGTTGAGAATAAATTCTGAAAGGAGGCACCGAGACATGAATAAGCTATTTCTTTACGACTTTCAATTTGTAAAATTAAAAGAGGCAGACACAAAGTTCTACATACCTTTTGATAAACGGCGATGATATCAGAATTGGAAATCTCGAGATATCAGTTTGTATTTTGTTACGGATTTTAAGCTGATTGTATGTTAAACAGAAACGCTTTTTCCAGACATTTGGGATAATAACCTCTAACACCGCTGTTGTTCGATCATGCTTTTTCGAATGCAAAACAGGGACACGCGGGATCACGCCGCTGATTGGCTAAATTAGACAATAAACCAATCAGACAGATTCAATTGAAAACAATAAGCGTCAATAAAGACAATAAATGTCAATCAAATGATAATTTGTGAAGAACCCCCGTACAATATCAAAACAGGCGGCCCTTTGGCCCGCCCCGTTCTATGACCGCCTACCTCTTGAGCTAACAAATTTGTTTTTGTCGTTTTATGATGAATAAAATAAAATTTTGAAAGTATATAAGATGCCGAGAAAAAAACTTGAATACATAATTTGGCATATGAAAGGGCTTTTTCTCTACACAGACATGATTTACTAGTGGTTATGAACGATAAGTGAGAACAATCGCCCTTTCAATATTTTTTTAATTGAATGAAAGAATAAATGAGAGACACAGAAATGCAAGATCATGAAGGGTCATCAGCATATCCACGTGGAGTAAATATCATAGAGTTCACAGTGGCCTTGTATGTCCAAATTATTGAATTTAGCCATCTTATCAGTTTGGAGAAGAACCCTGACCATTTCCAACAAATTAGATTTGTAATCTCCCGCTATTGGCTGTCACTTTGTCAACGTTTCTATACAGAAGCATAACTCTGCAATAATGTAAAAACTTTATAACAAAATTCGATACGATTAAAGAGAAGTGTGTTTCGTTTATTGAGAAGATGTCCCTCTCCCCTTCCGATGAAACCTGGCTAGGAAACTTTTCACGAAGCACCTTTTAGTACTTTACATTCTTTTTTATAAAATCAAGTAAATTGAAGTGCCAGCTCGCTGTTTTTAATTTCTTGCGAAAATCTTAGGCTGAATTGTTCTTAATTTGTTCTTAAATTACGTGGGTGTAAGCAGTGCAATTGCAAGCTAGTATGCTCTAGAGAGGGGGGGGGGTGTTCGGGCCTCATTTGCCAACAAAGTGGGTGAGATATCCTTATTGGACAACAACTTTGAAAATTAACCGAAAAGCATCCCTATTCGGAAAAAGCCCCTCGTTTATAAAATAAAATTTCTAAAGGAGTTTCACGACATGGACCATATAACATATTACAATAGTTCAGTCTCAGCTGTTCTTAGAAAATTGTTCTTTTAAAAAGGGTGTATCTTGGAGCAATGTGTTTTTGTGCTTTGTCACTGGAAAAGGAAGGAAGTGCCAAAAAAGGAGCATTTTAGCACAATGTGACAACCAAAACACTCTATTTTAGTTGAACACATTTCTATCAGAACATCGAGGCTCTATTTGCCAAAAATTAAAAATACCATAAGCACATGCCCAGCTTCAGTTGAAAAAGTTAAAGAGAAAACAATGCATATTGGAAATTTTCTCTTTTTCCAAGCAGTGCTACTAGAAAAATAATCCAACACTGCTATTTACAATTTATAGTATGTTGTTGTAGAAAAATTAATGTTAAAATAAAAGCAACGGTTATACGAACGAAACTTGAAATGATCCAAAAAATACAGTTTTTCGAAAACATTTGCAGCATATGAACAGCTTTATGCAATCCTTATGCTTCAAGTTAATCTGAAACAGTGTTTGCCACTATTGTTACAACTAACATTCAATAATCATACAATACCATACAAAAGTACCTCTTTTCGTTTGCTAGTAACTAAACAGTTCTGAACCAAGTTCCAAAGCCGAGAGAGAAAAGCATGAAGCAAGCATGAAATTTGTCTTTACATACCTCTCTTTCAAAAGTCACTCTTCCGTCACTCTTTTCCCCTCCTTCCGAAGGGGTAAAATAGAGTTTTGAAAAAGTCCATATCTTTTTTAAATTTGAGATAATCCAACCCAACAATAACATAATCATAATTACAATCAAGTACATAAGCTAAAGAATGCACATCGTGCCGTGCCATTGCTGACAAATTAGAACTTTTGAAATTATTTGAAATCTTAATAAAAACAATTGTTGCGAGCAACAGGAGCAAAGCAGCAACACAAACTGACAATAAAATAGCAAGAAACTCATAAAAATAACCGAACATCAAGGTTGAAAAGTGGGGGGGGGGCATGGGAAAATTTAACACCCATAACTAAAGATTTTGAATAAAACTTTATTGTTTTGCAAAAAAGTGGCCCCCCGCCCCCTTCGTCCAGCCAGCTACATAGAAACTACAACAATAAGGTTATTTCCAATTATCTTCTTTTGGCTAGTATTCGTAGGCAAAGTATGAAAAACATGGAACATTGCTTTGAAAACGCTTATGCTTTTCATATGAAACACCAGATCATACCAGACCAGATGTTAGACATACCAGATCAGACGCTACATATTTGTTGAAGGTAACAACGTCTTACACAGGCCTTTTGTTACAAATTTATTGCTATCGACGGTTGATCACAGTCCCCATAGCATATCAAGAAAAAAAGAGCACATACATTGGTTTCCAAAAAAACCCCAAAGGTGATGGCTGGCACCTGTTGAAAACTTAAATAATTCATTAACTTAAATGAATAATATGAATGAAAAAGGCACGAATGCAGTGGCGGATTTAAGGGGGGCAACTAGGGGCAGTTGCCCCTCCTTCAACGAGTTGAAGTAAGTCTGGAGCCCCTTGTTTGGAAATTGTGCGCCCCTTTTGAAGACTGGGAATCAGATGAAAAGGTTTTTGAAACCGATAGGTTAATTTGCTTCAAAGACTACCTCAAAGTTATGCTGTTTATTCGGAAAATGGGTCTGAATTCGTTGTATACAGCATACTCTCGTCACCAATTTTGAAAATTTTTCAACGCCCCTACTACCAACTACCCCCTCCCCCCCCTCAAATTTGCTCTGGATCCGCCCCTGCGTGAATGTGAATACAAAAAAGTGTGAATATGAACATACAAAGCGTGAATGGTCACAAGAAACCATGAATGTGAGTAAAATGATTTTGCTACAAATAAGCAACCATGTTCCACTTTTAGCGTATGACTTGCACATAATATGGCATATTTGAGGCCTTTGCACCTCGTTCTATTCTTGCTCTTTTTAAAAAAGCCCAATAACGTGCTAACTTTTTACAAAATGTATGTACTGCAGCTGCTCGATAATTTCAAATTAGATATGTAGGGGCGGATTAACCAGTGGGTTTGGGGTGTGAAACCCCCCCCCCCCATATTTTTGCATCCATCGGTAAAATTTTGATTCAATTTGGTAAAAAATCATTTTTGGTAGTTAGTAGTCAAAAAAAGATGCAACAATTTTGAAAGCGCTTATCTTTGTTTTTGTCTATTAAGCTTGGTTTCCACTATGAGGTAACGTGAGACAATTCTTTGTTAAATTTAGAATTTAGACTCATGGTCTAAATTCAAGTTGACTTGAGATAGTGTGAAATAGCTTGAGATAACGCGAGCTAACCCAAAATTTACCCATGTATCGATTCGGTTTTCACTTGAGATAATTTTCAAACCATGTCAGATCACAAAATTATCTCAAATTAACTCACGTTAACTCATAGTGGAAACCAAGCTTTACCTATTTTGAATTGCCTTGCCTCCCCTCTCCCACCTTAACTGCAAACGTCCCTGGTTGGTTTTTATGTCTCTTCTTACGGAATGTTTGCTGTCACTTCTTGAAGAAAACTAGCTGTCGCTGTAACCATGCATGGGCATTTGCTATAACAGGAATGTCTCTTGAAATGTTGAGCAACAAACCGATGCCAAATCGTTCGTTGTTTTAGTAGATAAGTCATTCAATGAACTATTTGTTTTGCAAAATTACACTTTTGGAAAGAAGACATTGTCGGAAATGCATGCTCAAAGAAACTTTCAAAGAAGTTTAAACTAGTTGATTGGATAGACCCACTTACATTCACCAATCAGATTGACTTAATGAGAAGATGTCATTCCAGCGTCTTTAATTCACCAAACTATTAATTACTGTAACCAATTTAGGCTGCTAATGTCTCTTATTTGTTATTTCAATCCTGTCGAAATCTCTTAAACTGTTTTGTTTTTCATCTCTCTTCACCTTTCCCTGTCTCTTCGAATAAATGACTGGGAAGAAGTTGCCGCGGGCTGCTAACTTGAGAATCCCCAGCGAAAACTTTCGTAAACCGTTGGGCAAAAGTCTACAGCTCATTGATAGAGTTGACAGTCTAACACTTTAGTGTAGTTAATGCAGAAAGTAGCTTTCGGGCCATATTCTGTTTTTATTCATGGTAACAGTTTACTAGCCTTTTACGCTTTGATGCTGTTCCATTTTAAGCCTATGTACCAAATTGCAGCGTTTGATGTCCCAGACTGCAGACGCTTTACATGTGTTTCATCTGGTAACAAGAAGTTTCGTCATCATTAAATTCTAAGATGGCCTATTTCAGAACTCGTTAGGAAACGATGCAAGCTCTAAATTCTGCACTATTCAAATTTCCAAGAAATACTCTCACAGAAGGCTGTAAATAACTCCCACTCCCTCCCCTATATTAAACCCTAGTTTAGATAATACATCTGGGCAGATAATTCCAATTTTTTGAAAACTTTTTCAAATCTTCACTCTAAACCATTAAAACTTTTCCGTTCACCCATTTACCCGTTTGCCTAAGAGATTGTTCTGCACGTGCTCAGACACATCTATCCAGTGGCGAAGGGAGAGTAGAAAGGCCCTTCTAAAACCTCTTAAAAGAGGGTTTTACCAAAGTGAGTTCGTAGGTCGCTCGCAGAAACGTTCACAATAAATACGGCAAAAACTGTTCTCCAACCCTCTAATGTTTTACACTTCTTCTAATTCATCACTTCATGGCAAACGACTAAAAAAGATCTTAAACGGCTAACGGCGGCAATCTAACGGCAAATATAATTCTGCAACCTAGCGACAAAACACACAAAGATCGGCAATCATAGCGCAATGATGCAATTGTTATGTGATGTCCTGCAATGAATGGGAACCCTATGTTCTAACAAAATCTGCAGATGAGGATACTTGGTCGCATGCGTTTAGCATGTTCACAGAAATAAGGCTTTTTGTGGAAAAGAAGGTCTTGAAAATGTCAACCATGATCCACATAGTGCGTA